CAGCAAGACCCCCAACGCCCCGGACCCCCGGGGGCCACGGCGTGCCCGGTGGTCGGCTCGGTAGCGGGGAAACTCAGGGCGGCCCCCCCCCCCCAACGCCAGGAACAGCATGAGCGGACCAGCCGAACGGCAGACCCAGACCCAGACCCAATCACGACCACAGTCACTCCAGCCAGACCCATGCATACACACACACATTCACACACACACACACAGGCACTCACTTGCTCACCCACGCTCTCTCGCACACACACACACACCCTCACTCACCCACACTGTCACACACACCCTCAATCACCCACACTCTTGCATACACACTCACTCTCGCCCATTCACCCACACTCCCACACATACACACGCAGAAAGTATGTAACAAAATACCAAAAAAGTAAGATAAATAATAATAAGAAACTGTAAATGAAGAAATTAAGTAACAAAATAAACAAGTAGAAATAAAGAGAATAAATACATAATAATAAATAAAAAAAATAAAAAATAAAAATAAATAAATAAATGAATAAATAAGAAGAAAAGGGGAGGGGGGGGCACCTCCGCTGTAGACCCGGGACCGGCAGAAGCACCTCCGGGACCCCCAGGAGCCAGGCAGCTCCCAGGCAGCAGGGGCGCAGGGAGGCCCCCCCCCCTCGTCCCTCCGGCCCCCTGATGGGTGTGAGGTGAGGACAACTCTGCCCTGATGGGCCGAGGTGCTCCATGTCTACTAAGCATTTAAAACAGCGGGGGGGGCGGCCTTGCAGAGTCCCAGAACGAGGTCCCTCAAGCAGTCCCCACCACCTGAGGGGCCCCGCTCACCCGACCCCACTCAACACACCCACCCCCCTGGACCTAAAGTGTGTATGTGTGTGGGTAGATGGGTAGTAGTGTCTAAAGTGCTGATAAAACAGGGGGTATTTAAAGTGTATTTTCAAAGGTAATAATTTAAGGGTTTTGCTATTCAATGTTAAAGGTTTAAGTTTTCTAAGCTGTTCATATACTGTTTTTGGTCATTTTCATAGTATTGTGTATTGAAATAGTGATATTGAACATACTTTGCCACGAGTAACCCTCAAAGTCTTCACATTTAAATTACATTTACATGGGATTAGATAGTGATTAATGTAAAGGTTCATTCACTATTTATGTTTGCAAATTAGTCAGTTAAAGTAGTGATTGAAAGATGTCAAATCCAGGTCATTCTGCAACTCAGGCAAAGGGTGAAGTTAGTGAGAGTTCAAATTCCAAAGATCAATCTGCAAAAGCCCAGAAAGAGAAGCAACTGAGACAAAGTCAAAGAATCAGAACTCTTACTGAGAAGGCCAAAGAAATGCAAGTTGAAAAGACTAAAGCACTTCAACAAAGGTTTGACTATGTTTATGACAAATGGAGAACACATGTAAAATCTGCTAAGCAGCAATTATCACAATCATCAGAGCCTTTATCTGAAGATCTTCTGAATGATATTATTGGTGATGTAACAGGTCTTTCTGCAGATGTCCAAAGCATTTTCGATGAACTTCGTAAAGTCTCAACTCCAGATCAAGAGACCCGTCGAAAAGTGGATCTGTGTGTAGAGATCTCAAAGTTCATAGTTTACAGAGCCTCAAGTCGACTGGATGGAAATATTCCAGAAGGAGAAGAAGAAGATTGGCCGGAAGCAGGTTCTCTCTTCAACTCAAGCACCTCTAAATCTCATTCTGTCATGTCCTTTCAAAGAGGGTCAGAGCATTCAAGCAGGTCTTCTGCAAAACGTCAAGAAGCTGCTGCTGATGCTGCAGCAAACCAAGCTGTTCGGAAAGTGCTGCTGAACAACTACAAATACAACACCTAGAAGCAGAAGTTAAAAAGAAGATAGCTGATCAAGAGGCAGCAGCTATAAAGCGTCATTTAGAACGAGAAGCAGAAGAAGTGCAACGGAGAATGCAAAGAGAGGAAGAGGAAGCCAAAGTCAAAGCTCAAATGGAAGAAGAGCACACAGCTCTACAAAAGACCCCAGAGGAAAAACGCAGGTAAATACAGCATTTGGAAGCAATAAAAGGTCTCAATGCAGCACAAGCAAGAATGCAGGTGTATGATCAGACTACAGGAGAGGAGAGGAAGGATGTGCTGGAACATGGAACGGCAGCTAAAGACCAAGCGATTGCTCCTTCAAGTCCTCTGGTTCAGTCTTTTGCACCACAAGCTGTAAATACCTCTTCAAGTGAAAGTACAGCAGAGCTTGTTAAAGTGCTGGCAGGTGCTTTAAACGGCAACAGAATTCCCATTCCAGAACCTTCAGTATTTGGTGGTGATCCATTGCAATACAACGACTGGAAAATCTCCTTTGAAAAATTGATTGACCAGAAGAACATTCAAGATAAAGAGAAGATATACTACCTTCGTAGGTATGTGAGTGGTCAAGCAAAGAAAGCCCTTGATGGTTATTTCCAACTAGGAACTGAATTTGCCTATGTTGCAGCATGGGACGTTTTGGAGGAGAGGTACGGCAACCCATTTACAATCGCAAAGTCATACAGAGACAAGCTTCAAGCATGGCCTAAGATAGGACCTAAAGATAGTTTTGAGCTCAGAGAGTTTGTTGACTTTTTCGTAGTTGCGAAGCTGCCATGATTCACATCAAGGCTTTAGAGATAATGAATGACTGTAATGAAAAAAGAAAAATTCTGTCAAAATTACCAGACTGGTTAACGGCAAGGTGGAATCGAAAGGTTATTGAAGTCCAAGAAGAGAATAACCAGTTCCCTTCTTTCAGTCAATTTGTCAAGTTTCTGACAAGGGAAGCAAAAATCGCCTGTAACCCAGTCACATCATTGCAGTCACTGAAACAAAGTGAGGCTGAAAAACCTAAAGGTTACAGAAATCAAAGCTTTGGAGCGAAGACACTGACTACAACTTCATCTGAAAAGACAGTCATAACGTGCATCTTCTGTAAGAAGATTGGACACACTTTGCATAAATGCAGGAAGTTCATGGAGAAAGCAATTCCAGATCGAATCAGTTTTGTTAAAACTGAAAGGCTATGTTTTGGTTGTTTCAAGTGTGGTCATCAATCAAAGAACTGCAACAATATAAGTTTTCTCCTTACGGCATCCAGCTCAGCCCCTCCAGCAGCCTGCTACCCCTTTTCCAAGCCTCCACCACCCTGGGACCCAGCCTGCCACCATTTCTCTGCCCTCCGACAGCTCCAGCTCACATTCTCCCAAGCCTGACCCCTTCTGCCTGGACTTGGACCTTCCCAGCCCTCCACAACTCGCTCTCCTGCAGCACCACAGTACTCCGTTTTCAATAAATCTGTTCAAAGGTCTCTGGTCTCCTGAGTGGCTACTGCATGTGGGTCAGAATGCTCCCTTGTCCCGTAACAGAACACTCAGGCCCCCCAGACCCAGCAGAGTCGATCAGGGACACCTTATCTGAACAAGCCACCCAACTGAACACCCATGAATCCGTGCTCCGGTCTCTTTCTGCTCAACAGGATTCCACCAACCAGAGATTGGACCAAATAAGCAGTTTACTTCAGAACCTGCAGGCTAACCTTACCTCTTCTCCTTTTCCACCAGTGACAGCCCCAGAACCCACCGCCTCAGCGTCCACCCCGTCTCCCTTCAGTCGCAAAGTATCATCTCCAACTCCAGAATACTTCTCTGGCGAGGTGGGCTCTTGTGGAGGTTTTTTACTCCAGTGCACACTAGTATTCAACAGATCACCGCACTCTTTTCCGAATGACGATGCTAAGATATCATATATGATTGGATTGTTCCGTGGAAGGGCTTTGAGGTGGGCTGAATCCAGATTTAACAGCTACCCTCATTTTGGATGCACACTAACTGAATTCATTACTGAGTTCAAGATGACTTGTGACCAGGCTGCGGGCGAGGTGGAGTTCTCCAGGAGACTCTGGAAGATGAAGCAGGGTCGGCGTTCAGTGGCTGAGTTGTCCATTGAGTTCCGAACCCTAGCGGCCTCTACAGGATGGAATTCCAGCGCCCTGAAGAGTGCATTCATACATGCTTTAAACGAGCCCATTAAAGATGAACTAACACTGCGAGATGAACCAGACTCCTTAAACGCACTAATTTATTTGGCAACCCGTATTGACACTCGACTCAGAGAGAGAAATTACGAGAGGGCCCGGAACCAGGTCACTCCCATGGTTAATAATCACAGCCGTGCATCTTCTCCTCCCCAGGATTCTACCCAGTCACCAGAGCCCATGCAAATTGGCCGTACTCGTCTGACCCCAGATGAACGACAGCGTCGTATGGAGTCCAGGGAGTGTTTGTACTGTGGAACCCCAGGTCACTTCATCGCTGCCTGCCCGGTTTAAACGGAAGGGTCCGTCCGTAGAGTCGGGGGGGCAGATGGACCGCTTCAATACCAAGACCCGACTCAATCTCCCTGTGTCCCTTATTTTGATAAGTACTTCATTAAATCTTCATGCACTTATTGACTCTGGTTGTGAGCAGAACATGATAGATGCTGCTCTAGTAGCCCAGGGTAAGATCAAGACGGAGGCCCTTCCCAGCCCTATTAGGACAACCTCCCTGGATGGAAGGGCCCTTCCCCCCATCACCCATCGGACTGTCCCCCTGGAGCTCATCATTTCCGGCAACCATCGAGAGCAGATTTCTTTTTATGTTTTTCCTGTTCCCCATGTGCCTATTTTCCTAGGCTATTATTGGCTACGTCTGCACAATCCCCACCTAAACTGGGCAGACTCCCGTGTAGAATCCTGGTCTAACCGTTGCCTGTCCTCCTGCTTGCAATCAGCAGTTTCCCCACCGCAGCCTCCCAGAGAAGGTGAGATAACGGACCCTTTTGAATTGTCCTTGTGAAAACGGAGCCGTTTTCCCCCTGTTTCCTGTTGAGTTGGGCTTTCCCAATTAGGTGTGGATTGGTGGGCCTATTTAAGGCGCAGACTCACAATGCCAGGGAGGCGGCTGGAGAAGGCTGCTGGTGGTTGGCTGCTGGTGGTTGGCTTTGTGAGAGTGCTGTTGGAAACTATATTTGATATCAGCTTGCGGTGAGGCTGAAAATTCTTTGTATTGCCTGCAATGGCCGGTTTTGGTTTCTTTGTTTGAAAGTATTTTGTTTGTTTTATTTTGTTTTGTCTTCACCATCGCACCTGTAAATAAACCACAACACGTTTTTCACTGGAACTTTGTCATCCGCTGGTTCTTACCACCTTTTTGCAAATCCTCTACTTACTCCTCCTCTGACGTGAGACGGGGGCTGGCGAGCCGCTTTCTCACAGTCCTCCATTCCTAGTGAATATCATGACCTAAAAATGGTCTTCAGTAAACACAAGGCCCAATCCTTGCCCCTTCACAGACCGTATGACTGTGCTATCGACCTACTCCCTGGAGCACCTCTCCCCTCCTGTCGTTTGTACAATCTTACTGGCCCTGAAAGAAAGACCATGGAGGCCTACATAAATGATTCCCTTACTGCTGGTCTTATTCGCTCATCCTCATCACCCCTTAGGGGCAGGATTTTTCTTTGTGCCAAAGAAAGATGGTTCCCTACGCCCCTGTATTGACTATCATGGCCTGAACCAGATCACTGTTAAAAACAAATATCCTCTCCCTCTCATCTCCTCAGCTTTCGAGCCTGTTCAGGGTGCCACAGTTTTCACCAAGCTTGATCTGCGCAATGCTTACCACCTAGTCCGCCCCGAGGACCGCTCCTGGGTCCCCAGGTCCTTCATTCTGGACCCAGGGCTCATCCGGAACTTTTTGGCATCACTCCTTCCCACTTCCAACCCGCCAGGTGGCGGTCGTTGAAGGGGGGGTAGTGTCATGGTTTCCTAGATATATGTATGCTTGTCTTTTATTTTGAAGTCTCAACAACCAGGAGGGCGGTGCAGCACAGCTGCACCTGGTTATGCTGATCAGGAGCAGAAGCTATTTAAGGAGCTGGCTGTGATTCATTCCTCGCCTGAGTGTCAACCTAAGCGGTACCTTGAGCTCTTAAGCGTCCTGGTTTTCTAAGTGCTTTTCATGCGAATAACATTCTGTGCATTTTCCAGTTTTCTCCTTGCGGCATCCAGCTCAGCACCTCCAGCAGCCTGCTACCCCTTTTCCAAGCCTCCACCACCCTGGGACCCAGCCTGCCACCATTTCTCTGCCCTCCGACAGCTCCAGCTCACGTTCTCCCAAGCCTGACCCCTTCTGCCTGGACTTGGACCTTCCCAGCCCTCCACAACTCGCTCTCCTGCAGCACCACAGTACTCCGTTTTCAATGAATCTGTTCAAAGGTCTCTGGTCTCCTGAGTGGCTACTGCATGTGGGTCAGAATGCTCCCTTGTCCCGTGACAGTTTGTGACATATGTAATAAGCGCCATCCTACTTGTCTGCATGAAGAGTGAGCTAAAGAAGACCAAAGACCACAACAAGCCAAGCAAAATTCAAGTAGAGAAAGGTCAAGCTCAAGTCAAGAAAGGCATGAAGAAAGAGCTCAAACAACACAACATAAAGAAATGACTATGAGTGCTACTTCAAACAGAGTAATACTTAATGAAGCAAATACCCAGACAGCTGCAATCGTTCCTGTTTGGCTTTCATCCAGAACTCAACCAGCACAAGAAGTTCTTGTATATGCTCTGTTGGATTCTCAAAGTGACACAACATTCATTCTAAGTGATGTAGCTGAAGCTTTGAATACCAAGAGAGAACAAGTCAAGCTCAAGCTTTCTCAATGACTTCACAAACTACGGTAGTAAGCTCTCAAAGAGTAAACAACTTACAAGTCAGAGGGTTCTTCAGTGATAAAAGGATATCCCTACCACCAGTCTACACCCGCAAGTTTATTCCAGCCAACAGAAGTCACATACCAACAGGTGGCTACATCTAGAGCACCTTCAAGACGAGATTGCACCTCTTCAGGAATGTGAAGTGGGCCTGCTCATTGGTTATAACTGCTCACAAGCCCTACTCCCAAGGGAAGTTGTGTTTGGCCAAGAAAATCAGCCTTATGCACAGCGCACTGACCTTGGATGGAGTGTTGTTGGTTATGGAAATCCCTGTCTAGATTATGGTGATGCCTTTGGGATCAGTCATCAAATAGTAGTGAGACAAGTGACACCAGGAATCGAGCCTTCTGTCAATCTTAAAACTGAAGTACGTTATGTGAATCGAAACAAAGTGAAGGAAATCACTCCTTCAGACATCATAAGAGTCCTTGAGTCAGATTTCTCAGAAAGAGCTGGAGATGATGATCTTATGTCCCAAGATGATTTCAAGTTTCTATCAACATTGAGAGAAAACATCACACAAAAGGAAAATGGTCACTATGAAATGCCATTACCATTCAAAGAGGGAAGACCAAAGTTGCCTAACAACAAGACACGTGCAATACATCCCCTGAATTGTCTTGAGAGGAGACTGAAGAAAGATGAAAATTACTACAGAGACTATGTAAAGTTTATGGACGACATAATATCTCGTGGTGATGCAGAGAAAGTTCCTGAGGAAGAAATTGACAGCAGTCCGGCTTGGTACATTCCACATCATGGAGTCTATCATCCACAAAAGCCAGGAAAAATACGTGTAGTATTTGACTGTTCTGCAAAGTTTCAAGAAACATCCCTCAATGACCATCTACTGACCGGTCCTGATTTGACGAATACATTGGTGGGAGTCCTGTGTCGTTTCCGGAAGGGTTCCGTTGCAGTCATGTGTGACGTTGAAGGAATGTTCCACCAGTTTCACGTGAAAAGGGAGGATCAAGACTTTTTAAGATTCCTATGGTGGGAAAATGGCAACTTGAAAACCACACCATTGGTCTACAGAATGAAAGTTCACTGTGCCAACTTCGGCTTAAAACATCTGGCTGCACAAGGGTGCGGTAAGTTCAGTGAAGATGCCATAAGCTTCATTCAAAGAAATTTCTACGTGGATGATGGTTTGGCAAGCATGCCATCTGAAGATCAAGTAATTCAGCTTGTTAAAGAAGCAAGAGAACTTTGCCACAATTAAGACTTGCCACGAAATTAAGACTCCACAAGTTTGTTTCTAACAGTGAAAATGTGATGGCATCATTCCAGAAGAGGAACGCGTCACAGTCAAGAATCTTGACATGGCTTTGAGTTCACCACACATAGAAAGAGCTCTTGGAGTAGAGTGGTGCATCACATCTGACTCGTTTAAATTCAGAGTGCAAGTGAAACCCTATCCACTAACAAGAAGAGGCGCACTCTCTACTGTGGCTTCCGTGTATGATCCCCTGGGATTCATAGCGCCCTTTGTCCTGTTGGGGAAACAAATACTCCAAGAAATGTGCAGAGAGAAAGTTGGCTGGGATGAAGAACTTCCAGAAAACCTAAAACCTAAATGGGAGTCCTGGGTCAAAGATCTACCCAATCTGGCTGAAATGCAAATAAAAAGATGCTTCTTACCTTCAAGTTTTGTCAATGTTAAAAGGTATGAGCTTCACCATTTTTCAGATGCAAGTGTTTCTGGCTACGGTGCATGTACCTACCTTAGAGCCATTGATTAATCTGATGATGTCCATTGCTGTTTGGTGATGGGAAAGTCGAAAGTTTCACCAACCAAAGTCACAACTATACCGAGGCTTGAACTGTCTGCTGCAGTTGTTGCAGTTCGAACCAGCAAAATGCTCCAGAGTGAACTGGATTTTCAAAATCCCAAGGAGTTCTTCTGGACAGACTCCACAGTCGTACTTGACTACATAAACAATGATGCCAGAAGGTTTCAGGTGTTCGTAGCTAACCGCATACAGAGGATCAAGTCAAGTACAAGTCCTGAACAATGGGGTTATGTGGCCTCTGAGAACAATCCAGCAGATCATGCCTCTCGGGGTTTGACTGCAGATCAACTTAAGGCCTCAAACTGGTTCACAGGACCAAAGTTTCTGTGGCACAAGGAACTACCTAACAAAGGATGTAAGGTGGGAGAAGTCAAGGAAAACGATCCAGAACTTCGCCAGGTGCTTGTGTGTAACACCAAGGAGAAGGAGGAAAAGTCGCTACTGGATCGGCTACAGAAATTTTCTGATTGGTCAAGAGTAGTAAAGGCAGTTGCTAGGTTGAAACGACGAGTTAAAGAATACAAGGGTGTGAAGCAAAGAAACAACGAAACACCAAGTCTGGAAGAAAGGAAAGAAGCTGAACTTGTTATCATCAAGCTGGTTCAAGAAGAAGCATTCCCAGATGAGATGAAAAGCTTGCAACTAAAGAAAGAGGTAACTAAGTCCAAAGTCACCAAGTTGTACAAGTTAAGTCCTTTCTTGGATGAAGAAGGCATCCTGAGGGTCGGAGGACGTCTAAGTCAAGCCACGCTACACCCATATGTGAAGCACCAGGCGATACTGCCAAAGGACAGTCACATATCAACCTTAATCATCAAGCATTTTCATGAGAAATTACATCATCAAGGACGTGGAATGACAATGAATGAACTCCGAGCTAATGAATGGTGGATCCTAGGATGCAGCAGTGCAGTTTCATCTCACATCTTCAGATGTGTTAAGTGCAGAAAGTACAGAAGACACACTGAAGAAAAAAGAATGGGTGACTTACCTAAAGACAGGACAGAAACAAGTCCGCCCTTCACTTACACTGGCATAGACTGCTTTGGTCCATTCTATGTAAAAGAAGGAAGGAAGGAACTCAAAAGGTACGGTCTCTTACTTACCTGTCTATGTTCAAGGGCCATACACATAGAGGTGATTGATGATGTGACAACTGATGCATTTATCAATACATTAAGAGCATTCATTGCTATCAGAGGACATGTTCGTCAATTAAGATGTGACCAAGGAACCAATTTTGTTGGTGCAAGGAAAGAGCTTGCACAACTCATGAAAGGAATGAACCAAGAAAGAGTGAAAGCTCTAGGATGTGAATTTCTTATGAACTGTCCAGCAGCGAGTCACATGGGTGGTGTCTGGGAGAGGCAGATTAGAACTATAAGGAGTGTTCTTACTGCTATTCTCGATAAGTCAGCACAAAGGCTTGACAGCATCTCTTTAAGGACATTCCTATATGAGGTTATGGCTATCATTAACAGCAGACCACTCACTGCTGAACATTTGAATGACCCATCCGGACCTGAGCCTTTAACTCCAAACCATATCCTTACCATGAAATCCACAATCATTCTGCCACCACCTGGGCAATTCGTCAGAGAAGACCTTTATCTTCAAAAGAGGTGGCGACGAGTTCAGTATTTGGCTAATGAGTTTTGGACCAGATGGCGGAAGGAATATTTGTTGAACTTGCAACCACTGCAAAAATGGCACAAGAACAGAAGAAACTTGAAAGTTAATGACATTGTACTTCTACAAGATGATCTAGCACCACGCAATCAATGGAAGCTAGCCAGAATCACAGAAGTCTACCCAGGGTTAGATAATAGAGTGAGAAAGCTAAAATGACTGGTTAGTGAAACAACATTTGACAAAAAGGGGAAACCCACAAATAAACCAGTAAAAGGAAACCACTTGAGTCTGCACGTGCTTGAAGGGAATTATATTCATTTTGATGCAGTTTACCCTTCCCGCTATAGTTATGTGCAAATTAAACCATCTTTCCAGATCTGATTTAAGCTTTTCAATTAGGGGTTGAAAATTGGTCTTGTAGAGATCTGACATCTTGCAGCAGATATGCACTACTAAATATATAAAGCTGCTTTTAGACACTTTAAATCAAAAACACACATCAGGGATCCCAAGTTATTTACAGGAAAACATTCGCTTTTTGAGAAGTTCAACTTATAGCCAGAAAATGCTCCAAAGCGGTTTAGCAATTCAGTTATTTTGGGGATGGTGGTTACTGGATCAGAAATAAACAATGGTAAATCGTCTGCATACAAGGACAATGTATGCTCCAAACCAAATCTGTAGATTCCTTTATTAAAACTGGCCGATTTAAGTGCGATAGATAAAGGTTCGATTGCCACAGCAAACAACAATGGGCTCAGAGGGCACCCTTGGCGCGTTCCTCGGTTGAGTGAGAAATACATGGATTTCATCCCATTAGTGCTTACAGATGCTTTAGGGGAAGAGTATAAGAGTGAAATCCAAGATGTATACCTAGACCCAATGCAAAACCTCTTTAAGACCTCTAATAAATAACTCCACTCCACCTTATCGAAAGCCTTCTCTGCATCCAGGGAGACCACCACTTCTGGCGTCTCCCCGGCTGCGGGAGAGAAAAGAAGGTCGAGGAGGCGGCGGACGTTGGAAAAAGAGTGTCTGTTTTTCATA